GCTGGTTCCTTGGTGTCTCCAGTGACATAGCCTAACTTTCCCCTTCCTCCAATTGCCATCATGGCAGATTGAGCCCACTCCTAATAGTTAGAACCATCAAACCTGATTGTGGTAACCTGAAAAGGGTTGTTGTCAGTCATAGTAACAGCCCTTTCAGCACCCTCTCCAGTAGGTTTCTGTTCACCCCCAAAGAACTCCATGCTAAGTCCAACACAAAGAGGTAAAAGACCACACTCGACTCCCTTTTCGAAAAAAAAGAGAGAATAGAAGTGAAGCAACTACTCAGTCCAGAAAATTCCAGTAAAAGTAGCCGCACCCCCCAGAGATTTCAGAAAACCCTACTCGGTCCAGTAAATTCCAAAAAAAAAAGCCGCTCCTCTCAGAGGTTTCAGAAAACCCTACTTTTAGTTATAAACTTCCGGAGAGCTGAAAAAACTTCCCAGAAACTTCTGGGCGGCACCTTCAATTTGAGATTTAAACCCTAAATCTCACTTCAAAAAGGTTTTCTCTGATTCTTCCCAACTGTTGGGCAAATTCCAAGAACAGAAACGTCCTGGGCAAGGCTTCGATCTCCACCAATCTCCAAGAATCAGGCCACGAACAGAACTAAAACTCCAGCCTTATTAAAATTTCATGAAGCCAGCTGGGAAGAGCCTACATGAGATTCACGAGTAGAACTAAACCTGCTCTGATTGCTGCTAGCAGAACTTCTAGGTGGAAGAGAAACTCAGAAATCGATAGGAAGAAGAGAGAGGAGAATAGAAGAAGAACAGGAGAGGAATGGGCAAAAAATATCTTACTGTCGCCCTAAGCAGTATTATTTATATGTTTAACATAACATTAGGTAAAAGGACAAAAATGCCCTGCTACCTATAACAGTACAAGAAAGCAAACATAAAACAAAAAATAAGAAATAAAAGACACAACTTATGGGACCACACATAAAAATATCAGGTCTGGTCCACCGTATGACTACAAAAGTTATACAACTAAAAAAAATAACTTTTCATGTGAAATTAATGAATACATATCTGTTTTAACATTAACAAAAAGATAAAAAAGGAATACATATCTGTTTTCACCTACAAAGTGCAAATACATATCTACTTTTGCATAAAACAGTTGTATTTTGTGTAAAAAAGAATGAAAAAAATGGGGATGAACCTCTGTTTTGTGATTAGAAAAAGGATGAGTAAAAGGCCGGAGGCCCTGTTTTTATGCAAAAAAATCAAGACAAAATATAATGAAACAAGGGGGAAATGTAATAGGGCGGAGCCCCTGTTTTCATGCAAAAACACTGACTGAAATAAATGGGGCGGAGCTCCTGTTTTCATGCCAAAAAACCGGCTGATATAAAGGAAAAGAAACAAGAAACAAGAAGAAAGGAGGAAAAGGAGGAGGAAGAAGAAAGAAAGATGAACAGTTTTAGAAATCGAGCAGTAAAACAATAGAAATAGAGAATGACAAACTTTGGGTGAAGATAGTGGAAAGTATTCATGGGGTTGCAACAAATGGATGGGACTTTGGGATTCTGGCAAGGAGTACAAGAGCATCTCCTTGGAAACCTATTCAAGCTATTTTACCTTTGTTCTCTCCATGGATTATGTATGACTTGCACTCAGGCAATCTCATTAATTTTTGGGAACATGTTTGGATTGGGGACTCCTCCCTAAAAGACCAATTCCCAAGCCTTTTTGCCCTTTCCACTTTTAAAAACGAACCGGTGTCTTCATTCATTGTTCATTCTAATTCTATTTCTGGGGTCAGCTGGAATTTGGGCCTGTGAAGAGATATTAGGGACACAGAGCTTGATGGTATCTCATCACTATTATCAATTCTTGAAGGGGTGTTCCTAGAGCCAACAAAGGCAGATAGTAGAATTTGGACTCTCACCCCCTCTGGTTCTTTCACTTGTGCCTCTTTCTTTAGTGTTCTCACACATTCTTCTTCTCCGGGCTTGTCTTTCCCTATTAAAGAGGTGTGGTGTCATCCTATACCTCCTAAGGTTGGGAGTTTCTGTTGGGAAGCTTTTCTTGAAAGAGTTAACACAACAGATTTACTTCAAAGAAAAAGACCCAATAGTTGTTTTTGTCCTCACTGGTGTGTCCTCTATAAAGCTGATGGTGAGTCTGGATATCACTTACTAATCTCCTGTTGGTTCACTAACATCAAGTGGTGTACTTCTTTGTTTGGGTGCAGGTGGACCCCCCCTTCGAATGTGCAAAGCCTATTCACACGTATGCCGTTTCGGCCAAAAAAAGGGCCAAGTTTATGTGGAGGTGTACGAGGGCTGCAGTTTGTTGTACTATTTGGGAGGAGAGAAATTCACAAATATTTACAGATAAAGAGAGAAGTTTGGAAGCAATGCTGGAGGTCATCCACATTAGGGTTATACACTGGCTGAAAACCTTGGCTCTGGTCGCAGAATTCTCAGTTGATGAGCTGCAAAGAAAGTGGAAGGAGATAGCAGAACTTGTTCCAATGAGGAAGGCCTCAAATGTTTGTTGGATCCCCCCACCCCATGACTTTGTTAAACTGAACTTTGATGGCAGCAGCTTGGGCAATCCAGGGCCATCCGGAATAGGAAGAGTAATAAGAGATGAACAAGGGAAGCTGTTAGTATGTATTCTGGACCAGTTGGGGTGGGAAATTCTTTGAGAGCTGAGATTCTTGCAACTCTTGAAGGGGTACAAAGAATCAAAGATATGCATATTAACAAGTTGGTCATAGAAGGAGATTCTGAAGTGGTGGTAAACTGGCTGAAAGAGGATAGTCTTAGACTTTGGAATTACAGTAATGAAAAGAGGAAATTCAAGTGGTTGACTAGGGACATGGAAATCCAATACAAATGGGTAAAAAGAAGTGCAAACTCTTTGGTAGATGGTCTAGCTAGACAAGGGGTGAATAGACATTCTATTTTTTGGGCTGTCTTGTAATTTTTGTTCTTTTGATGCTTAATGGCTGTTCTCGGGAGCTAAGATTATTTAGCCCTATTGCCCTGTAATGTTCTCATATTTTTAATATTAATTCAATCCACAGTTATTGATAAAATAAAACAATAGAAATAGAGAAGACAAACCATGTATAGATAATAGAAAAACAATAGAAATCAAAAAAATAAAATAAAATAAAATCTTTTACCTTTCAATGCAGACCAGTAGAGAAAGAAGTTTGGAGCTTCATCAAAGCAATGGAAGAGGGCTTCTTCTCTCCCATTCTCCTGCCCAAGTCTTTTCCTTGAATGGCAAGTCTTCTTTGATCGACCAAAGTGGGTATTCTATGCATTATAGTTAAAATGATGATTCTACCCCTCTTTATAAAAGTGAAACTAGGAAGAGGGTTAAATGGTCATTTAATCTCAAAAGAAGCTTTCAAACTATAATTGTTTGAATCTTCCAAGAATCACAATTTACGATTTAAGCCACTGGTTTGGTTACAAATCGTATGATTAGTTCAAAAAACGATTTATACATATGATTTGTATTGTTTTAGCCCCGATTCGGTTTGAATTGTACGATTCAAATCGTGAATCACACGATTTTGAAAACATTTTACCAGATGTTTTTTTTTTTAATCTATTATTACATTGGATTAGCCTACTGAAAGTTCTTTGGGGTAGATAGAATCCACAGATCATAATATCTATTTTGTACATTCTTTTTGTGGTGGATAGAATCCACTGGATATATAAGAAAACAATTGAGATAAGAGTTAGAGTTCAACAGAACTCTAGAGTGAGAGAGAGAGAGATAAGTATTGAGAGTAGATAAAGTTTAAAGGAGTAGAATATAAGAGATAAAAATAAAATAAAATAAAATCTGTACCTGTGTCCTCTTCAATCAGCAGAACTACAAGTTCCCTCCTCTATTTTCTCTCTTATTCTCTCTTCTCTCCTTTCTCTCTTTTCTCTATTGCCACCCATTTTCCTCTCCTCTTTCCCTTTTATAGAGGAGGCAGTTATGGGTAGGGAGGTTAGAGAAACCTCCCCACTCTTCATACGTGGGGTGGTTGCTTAACTCCCCCCATAACCAGAATAATTTAAAATTTAAATTTATGTGAAGTGGGCCATCTGTCAAATCTTGCCCCTCAAGCCTTATATATATTTTTATATCATATATATATATTATATATTTTTAATCCTAAACAGCCTCTGCTGATACATGAGCGTATTGATACTTTGAACCTTGCCTACTGGAAAATCACATTGGCATGGAAAAACAAGGGGTTAAATCTGTTGTACAGCAAACTTACTGATGGAAGTGGGTTCTTGAATTCTTGATCTTGATTATTGAACCACTAAATCTGTCATTGTACAAGTATAAATAAGTGAGCTGAGGAATAGGAGTTACCTTGAGTTCGATTCAGTTCTTCTCCCCATCTCTCTCTCTCTCTCTCTCTCTCTCTCTCTCATTTTCAGGAGATCACACTCTCTCGAAGTAGGATCCCAACAAACATACTGTTCTTTTGTTAATATCTTGCTAACAGAGTTGTATGGTCTGGTGTACAGATTGGATGTATATGGTCTAATCTTTATACTACAATACTTCACCTTTTCAAAAAAGAAATTACAATGGGCATTATTACACTAAATTATTCATTTTGTGGGTCCACTATTCAGTTTTGTTAATTGGTTTCCCCACTCTTGAATTCTAAAATCTTTACTTACTTTTTTTATTTTTCTTTTTATTTGTGTTGTTGAACTGCAAATCTGAGTTGATTTGTAGAAACAAAACAAAAACATATAAATATAAAAAAGTAAAAAAAAAATGAATATTTCTACAGTATCCCACTTATTTATAGAACCATGCAGGTTTTTAAAAACTAGGTGGTTCAGTAATTTTGCAAAACCATTCAGTTTAAACAGTTTATTCATGTCACTTTTATTCAGTTGATAAGCCAAGCTGTCATTTTATCCAGTTCTGGTCTGAGTGGGAATGACTGCATAGTTCGATCCACTTTTTAGAACATTGGACATGATGTATGGGATTTTGTGATTGCAGGTTGGAAACCGATCTAGTGAATTTCATCCAGAGGTTAGACGAGTGAGACGTGAAAGCTCTTATATATACGAGGAGTTCATGCCTACAGGAGGAACAGATGTCAAGGTTCTCTTATCTATGCAATTCTATTAATAAGTTAATTGATTTCTGAAATTGGTTTTCATCTGAGTAGATGTGGTCTAGTAACTAAAGAACATATAGTTTTGATCTACTACTTGTTGAAAGTATTACGGCAATTGTTTTCTCTAAATTGACATTGACGTCTGAATCAAGACTTGTTAGTTCCCACTAATCTAAAATAGGTCATCTGGGACCTTTCCATATCTTTCATGATTCCAAATTAGTCAAAGCATTCTTCTTGATGGAATTGGCATTATTTTCTGCATATTGGAAACTGTGGTATTCTATGATATTGCTATCTATGATGTATGTTCTAGAGAGGCTTTCTTAATTTGGAAACACATTATGAATCTATGTGAATCTGAGGAAAAAGACATGGAGCCCAAAACAAATACAATAACTAAATAAGATAATGCAAAACCTCCACTCTAGAATCTGAGTTCCTGAATACAATTTACTTCTGTACACTCCTAAGAAGCCTGTCAGTCATCAAACTGACAGACCTAGGTAGGATCTTCTGGACAAGATATTCAAATTAAAAGCTAAAGATCTAGCTTCTCTGGAAATTTGTAAGGTTTGCCAGAATCATATTGCATCGACTTGATAACCTGCCATGTTCTACCTGAGCCCCTTCGATGCAAGGAAACCGAATCTCTTTCTCTTTCACTAAATCTGAAAATACTAGCAAGATCTCTCCCTTACTGTCCTTGTAGAGACATGCAATTCGTAGGGCCTCTCACTACTCGAAGAGTAATTGCCTATATTACTTGCTTTTACAGGACATTGGTGTATCCGTATCGTATGCCATTATCTCCCTAAAACTGAGGGGTTTTAATTTATTGTGAGGTATTCTAATTATAAGACTCACTGTGTATTATTACCATGGAAAAAATTCCCCATGTTCAGATTTTGTTTTATAATTAACATCAACACGAATTTTATTAAAAGATTGTGCACTATAGCACTAGGCCCCTTCCCCTAGAGAAACGTCAAAATCAGATATCCAGATTGGAATCCAAAGATCTAGGCATTGCTGTAATAGGCTAGCAATTGTCCACTACGATCATCTCAATTCAATACCAAAGGTTGTATGAATCTAATGGCCAAGAATTTAGGCTAGAGGAACTGATATTTGTCATTGGACCAAGGTATAAATGCATGATCTTGCTCTCACTGTCCCTAGGAGCACTGCTAATAACAAATATCTTCAAAAGCAAGCATTGAGGTTTAGTTTTCAGTCAAATCTTTGGCTACTAAGCTCAGCAAGACAGATATAACTGGCATTCCAGGAAAGCAGGTGTGGAACCCAATCATCCCTTCCAAGGCAAACTTTCTTGTTTGGGTTTTGATTCTAAATAAGTGCCTCCCGAAAGTCAATTTGGACAGGAGAGGGCTGCAGATTTCTGCTCTGAACTGTGGGCTGTGTGGACTTGTACCAGACCCAGGGGAAGCTGGTCTGGAAAACCATCCCTGCAGCTGTTCTAGTGACTATTTGGTCTGAGAGAAACAGTTAAGTTTTCTGTAACAAAGTGAGAAACACAGAAGATCTAATACAACTTTCTGTGAACAAACTTGCTTCTTGGATTTCTGTAACTTCTGAGTTTAAGAATCAAAATGTGTTTCAGATGCTTTATTCTCAGTCCGTGTGGAGCTTGTAATGTGTCTTCTCTGCTTTCCGGTGAGGTGACAATGAGGATCTTGCTGTTCTCTAATCACCTTGTCCATAGAAAAACATGTAGACTCTTTCAGATTCAAAATTCAATAAGATACTTTTATAGTGATCAAATAGAAAAAAACAGCAAAAATAATGAAATGCATGCCTAAATGGTTTTGTGCTCCCCTATGGTATGAAACTGGTTGGATGTACAGCAGATCTAGCCAAATCAATGTTTCAGTTTGGTTTTGATCCTAGTTGATCTGATATTATGGATCTATAGCCAATCAGTTTACACATCCAGTCCAAATTATCGGTTGGCTTGTGAAGGGAAATAACATATATTGCAAGATCTGGTCCAAAATTTGATCAAGTCCTTGCTGTTGGGTATGGGGGAGTATTTTAAAAGGTGTATCTTTGTGAAGATGCAAGCTCACTGAACAAAGGTATAGAGATCTTACTACAAATATGTCCTTGTGGTTGTGGTATTACTTGATACAGATGGGTTTATTTAAGTAATGACAAATAACCAAAAGAAGAAATTCAAGAAGGTTGTAAGAGGGTCAAAGTCAACAGTCCAATGCCTGGTCAGATTTTGCAGATTCAATTTCTCCCATTCCCATCATTGGGTTGAGCTCAAATTATTTGGATATAGTGAAGCCTAAAAAGTAAAGAGGAAACCCTCCAAACCTCAAGCTAATTGGGTTACACGATGGCTTTCATCAAGGGAAATTATTACTTCTGGATATCTGGGACTGTCAGCAGTTGGTCAAAATCTAAGTCGAACGTTTGACCAATGGCCCCACATATTGGACAGCTCTGACCTAATGAGGATAAGGCCAGTTTTGTCTTTTTTCTTTGTTTCTTTAATATAAGGGTATTTTGGGGACTAAAATTGATAACTTCTAATCTCTTTTAGTAGTTTCAAACAACCAGGGTTAGTTAAGATGTTTAACATTGATGTTTTGTGGGGTTTAATAGGCTACAAAAGCTCCTATACACTGTTCACTTTACTGTTCATCTTTTTCTATTATGCTATTTTCTGGTTTCATGCAATAAAGTTTTGAAGGTATTCAATTTTTCTTCACGGATGACTTATATAGAGAGAGTTCCTTCTGTGCTCTTACAATTCCTTCCATTGACTGCTAGTGAGTAATTTTCTTTCTTCTATTAGATTGTTGTGTAGAGAAGTTTCTGTTGCATTATTACTATACAAGTTGAAGTGCATTTGCATGCCAGCAACATTGTACTTACTACTTCTGGAAGTGTCTCTGTATAGATTATCATATGCACTCCTTTTATCCATTCCATTCTCCTTGAATTCTTTTTGTTATTTCAGCCATGAAAATGTAATTGTGTGACTTTATCATATTTTCAATGTGACATTTTTCTTTTGTTTCTGCACTTGACTACTTTAAGAGGCCTCAGAGTTTTATTCATGTTATTATAGGTGTACACAGTTGGTCCAGAATATGCACATGCTGAGGCAAGGAAGTCTCCTGTTGTTGATGGTGTTGTTATGAGGAACCATGATGGAAAGGAAGTAATGTGTAGCATTTAATGATAAACTTGATTACTTTTACAGTTTCAATGTGAAGCTGGTTATTTTTTGGCCTTTTATTGTTTCCATACAATGGATTAGGATTGAAAGTTACACTTGCTCTTGATAGTTGATGCATGTTGTGTGTGTGTGTGTGTGTGTGTATTCCTAGCAGAGCCCAGGGACCTATTGGCTTCTAAGAATGCATCTCTGTACTGGATTCCAAGGGATTTAAATGCCATTGCAGATGGATTAGCAAAACTAGGTGCCATTYTGTATTACCTGGAGCTGAAGCATGGTATGTTGAGGCCCGATTACCTAAATGAGCAAAAGCTGAGGTTAGAGGATCTGATGGTGGCTGATGAGCTGAATTACTAACTTCATTTTCTAGCTGAGTCAGAGCAGCTCGGACTGCAGCTAGGGTATCTAGAGGAGTGCCTCTTGTGCCTCTACTTGTGCCTGATGAGGTTGTACTATCAGTGTTGACAGCCATATTAGCATTCCCCTTCTTATTTTTGAGTTTTGCTGGAACTAGATGAGTATGCAACTTCCAACAAGTGTCTTTAGTATGTTTAGGTTTCTTGCAGTGTTCACATACTAGGTCATTCGTAGCTTCCTTCTTCACATCCTTCTCCTTATCACCCCCAGATTTAGGTCTAATTGCTGCCAAGGCTGATTCGAAGGGCTGTTGCTGCAACATAACCTTTCTCCTAGTTTCCTCACTGTGCACTAGGGAATAGGCTTGTGATAAAGTCACACTATCTCTTGTCAACAACTGTTGTCTCACAATATCATATTCAGAATTCAGACTAGCTGGGAACTCAAACACTATTAGTTTCAACCTGCTTTCTGTAAGTCTGTGCATCTTTCTGACTCTCTCACTCAATTGTTTCAAGATGGTCAATTTCATGCCACAGGGATTTCAAGGTTGAAAAATAAACGGAGACTTGTTTCTCTCCTTGCCTGAGATTTTTAACCTCACATTTCAGCTCATAAGCCCTAGCAACATTAAGGGGCTGAGAGTAGGTTTCTTTCATAACATCCCATATTTTCTTAGCTGTTTTGGCCCACAAGTATTTTTGTCTGATGTGTGGCTGCATAGAGTTGCACAGCCATGTCATCACCAAATAATTCTCCTGAACTCACTTAGCATAAGTAGGGTCCTCCTTGGTTGGTTCCTTCACATCCCCCCAGCAAGAAGTTCAATTTTCCTCTACCCCCAATGGCCATCATGGCTGATTGGGCCCATTCTAAGTAGTTTGATCCATCAAACTTAACAGTTGTAATATGAGAGGTGTTCTCAGTCATATTACCTGAACCACCAGTCCCAAAAACACCTCCCCCTTGGTTCTTAAACTCCATTCCAGGTTAGAAGTTGATTAAAAAGGCTTTTAAATCACTGTAATAAGAAAAACTGTACCCCAAAAACTGATAACAGCCGACGTAGGATGATGATTTAGGTTCTGCAGTTACCCAGAAACAAATAACAGCTCTTCTGGACCTTCCAAAGAGCAAGAAAGAACCAACTACTGCCCTGGAATTAATATCAGACCTGGATTTTAGGTTTTCCTCCCAAAAAACCCTAAAAACAGGTGAAAAAGAAGAGATTTTTTCTAGCCGCACCTCTCTGAATAACAGAATGCCAACTTGTCTCTTACTGCTGCCGGCCTCAAGAAAAGAAGGAACTTGCCTAGAAAACTGATTGCTTTTATGAAGAGCAGAATGCCAACTTGTCTCTTACTGCTGCCGGCCTCAAGAAAAGAAGGAACTTGCCCAGAAAACTGATTGCTACCTTCAGTCTTCAAACTTGATCAATCAACTGCTGTCGGCACTTTGAATCTTGATCAAAGAACCAAGAAAAATCTGATCGGCACTTCCAATCTTGATCAAAGAACTAATCTTGATCACTCAAATCTTGTCTGATTCTTCCTGATTACAAGGAGAACTCTCCAATCCTTCGACAGCTGCTAAAGCCTTCTTGTAACCTCCAAGAATCAGCCGAAAGGAAAAATCTTTCTAAACTTCCAGCCCTAAATAATTCTCATGTGGTCAGCTGAATTAAATCCACATGAGAAATCCTAGATCGAGTGCTCTGATACCAAGTAGTCGAACAAGACTACAATATGTTTTAAATATTTGATGAGAAAAGACAGACAAAGATAGAATAGAAGAGAAGGAGAGGAGGACTCGAAGATTGGGTTCAGAAAAGAAGTGAGAAAAATAGCAATTGCCGCCCCTCTACTTGTATTTATATTCATATCCAAATAAATGCAAAAGGGCTGAATTACCCTTATTGCTTACATGGCAAAGAATAAAACAAATTAATAATATAAGTCTGAAATAACTACTAACTAACAAACTGAAATAACTAACATAACTACTAACTGTACGGGCACAATGGGGTCCACATCAGTGTTCTCTACAATTATAAAAAAGATAGTGGACTGGAGTTTCCTTATTCTAAACACATAATTACTTACTTTCCTTGCTGCCCAACTAACCCAATAAAACATTCTTTCAACAGTATAGATTACTCCCCTTCTAATTCTAGTTTGGCCACAGTTTTTCCTTCTTCATCCATTTGCCAAATCGTGAAAAAATCTGGTATTCCCATCACTTTCCTTAATTCACTTATACCTTGACTTCTACCTCTGATAGATCTCCTCCCTAAGTAACATATCTTCCAGTCCCTTTTTTGGCTGGCTTCTTAGCTCTTTATCCTATACATTCAATTTGGGTGATTAGGTTCAATTTTTGTTCCACAACCCTACCAAAATGGTCCTTGTTCCACTCCTTCAATCTGAATCTCAACCTCTGCAACTTCTTATTGGAATCTAACCCCCTTCCGCTTTACCCCCCTTAACTCTTCATTCCACCACTCCTTCACTAGGCTGGAAGGACATATTTTCTATGTATCCTTTTAAGATTTACTAAAATAAATGATTTAGGTTTGGTAATTGTTGTTTCAGAATGGCATGACTTAAGAATCTGGATGTATTCATCACTTAAAAGAATAGAGGGGAGGGGTGGCTGAGGATGGCAAAAATGGAAGCAATAATCTATTGTTCAGTAACTTGGAAATTTGTGATCCTCTTTGTTTGTAGCAGTTTCAGAATCATCATTTGTTTCTTACAAAAATGTTAATTCTTTTTATAGGTGAGGTATCCTGTATTACTGACTCCAACTGAGAAGCAAATGGCAAGAGATGTTTGCATTGCATTTCGGCAAGCGGTAGAGTTTTCTGTTATAAAATGAACATTTTTCCTGTGAATATTTATATTGGCCCACCTTTTATTTTTGTTGTTTTCTCAGCATTTTTCATAGCAATTTGCATAAACAGGTACTGGAGTTCCATTTCATTATCGGTGCCAATAATCATTGGCCCACCTGGCGTTAATCAAATTTGGCATGGTTTGCTTGTTGGTCACTACACTTGCTGTTTCAATGTACTTGCAGGTGTGTGGATTTGATCTCTTACGTTGTGAGGGACGATCATATGTTTGTGATGTGAATGGATGGAGTTTTGTGAAGAACTCTCACAAGTAATTCTCTTCTGATTTCTCAATCCATTAATAATTTAGGATGATATTATTTCTATTGTTGAAAGGGGGTTATTGTTGGGTGTAATTGTAAAATCCCTGGATGTAAGCATGAGATCATGGTTTCAAGTCTGAGTGCTGCCACTTTGTGCAAAAAAGGCCAAAGGTTAGGCCCATATCCGGTCCACTCCTCTAAAGACCCCAGATAGCCATGGCCAACATTGGGTAATGGCCTCTTATTCTTTCTATGTATCCTTACTCTTTGAACTATTCTACCTTTTTAAATATTTATGAAAGTATGTAGTTATTGATAAAAAAATTTCATTAATTACCTAGGGAATATGAATAGGATATTTCCCTTTATGTTGCAAATCTTTTATTTAGGTTTCTTAAGGCTGCATTTGTTTGTGGTGTAAAACCTCATCGATGGAGTTTCACACTGAACAGTTTAAAACCTCTGAACTGTTGAGCTTCAAAAAACGTGATTATCGATGTAAAATCCACTCCATCCAAATGCCGACAAATCTGAACTGGTAGTGGAGTTTTACATCGATCTTGGTTTACACTGCAAACAAATGCTGACAAAACCGAACTGGCGGTGAGGTTTTACACTGCAAACAAACACAGCCTAAATTCTTTTTCTGCTTTTGTATCCCATCTTGTTATTAAGCAACTTAGACTATTACCCTCATCCACCTCAAAGAGGGTGAGGTCTTTAAAATTCTCCCTTATAGGTAGCAACAAAACAACTATCTCCCTATCAAAAAGATAAAATAAAAGAAAATAACAGTCTCCAACATATTGCTTGTAGTTTCCAAAAATAAGAAGCTGTCTTCATTGTTAAAATTCTCTTAGCTTTATTACCTTTTATACTATAAACAATACCATTGAACTGTTAGAAACTCTTGTGGTTTTCTTTTTGACTGGGAACTGTAAAATTTTATTAGAGAAAAGCAAAGAGGCATACGAATTAACTCAACTAAACCTTGTCTCAACTATATGGGGTTGGCTATATGAATACTGTTCTGCCATTCTACTCTGTTCACTGTCATATCATTGTTAAATTATGGATCCTCAAATCATTTCTCACTATTTCAACCCGTGCTTTTTTTTTCCTGTTCCTATCTCTTATAGACCCTTGAACCTCCAATAGATAGATTTCCACTGCTGCTTAGTGGTCTTCTTTGGCTCTTTACATGCGAAGAGATCATCTTACACTACTTTCCCTCGTTTTATCACCTATTGGGGCTACTTCTAGGTTCTTCCGGATATATTCATTTCTGATCACATCTTTTCTAGTTTTCCCACTCATCCATTTCGGCAATTACATTTCTGCTATATTCATTTTTTAGACATGTTTCTTGACTGCTCAACATGCTGCTTCATACAACATTACTGGCACTATAACCGTTTTATAAAAATTTCCTTTTAGCCTATGTAGTATTTTCCTATCACACTCTGGATGCACTCTCTGTTTCACTATTCTGCTCTAATTCTGTGGCCTACAGCCACTTCAATCTCTCCTCTGTTATGGATTATCTAACAAGGTGATAATAGAGGTCATATTGAGATATCTCTTGGTTTCCTATCCTATATGTACCTCAGTTTCGGCTCCTATTATTACTTTTCCATGGTTAATTATCACTAATATTGCAGTATCTTCTAGGTCCTTTCTATGTTTTGACATTTCTAGGATTTCAGATAATTTTCTTTTCATATGCAGTTCTTGTTTGGAGCAGGTTAGCTCTATAGGTTTAGGGTTTTACTTCCTTCTCCAGGTGCTTAGTCTATCCATCTCCTCAAGCTTTGAGAGGCTGAGATAGATTGAGAGATCCCTTGGAGGTTACTAGAGTGACAACGTCTTGTATGCCCAGAAGACTTCTTCGCCTAGTTAATGGATCCTCAAAAGACTTATTTCCAATGCATCTAGAGAGCTAAGACAAAGATTTCCTCTCTCTCCCTTCCTATTTACTCTAGTGGCAGATATTCTAGATGCCTTCATGCAAAAAGCAGTCAATCTGGGTCTCATTCAAGGTTTCACAGTTGGGCAGGAGAATGTTCACATTTCTCATCTGCAGTATGCAGATTACACCATCTTCTTCATTCAAGATAAAAAAGGATTACCTCCTAAACCTCAAGATGATCCTAAAGTGCTTTGAGGCTGTAACTGGATTGAAGACTAATTCTTTTGATATTTAAGGTTCTGGCCAAGGTGAGAAATCAAATTGAAAAATTCCAACATGATTTGTTGTGGGATGGGGAAGGTGAGAAAAGAGACCACCTGGTGAGCTGGGAAATGGTGTGCAAACCAAAGGGGGAAGGTTTGGGCTTGGATCACATTACTAAAAGGAAGCAGGCTCTTGGCAAATGGATTTGGAGGTTTAAGATGGAGCAGAACTCTCTTTGGGCTTCTTTAATTTGCAGAAAATATGGTAATAGCAGTTTAGGAAGGGGCAGCAATCATCCATTACCTGGATTCTCTCATGCAAATCCATAGAAAGATATTCTCTAAACCATTGACTCCTCCCCTCATCTTAGATTCAGCCTTGGAAGTGGTAATATTATCAAATTTTGGACGGATCTATGGTGGGGTCCAAGGCCTTCCCTCTTTATTTAGACTGGTCAGTGACAAATAAGCCTTGGTTTCCTCCATAATCCTCCAAGATAACCATACTCTCTCCTATAACTTTAACTTCCATAGAGATTTAAAAGATTCTGAAATTTCTGAAGTCTCTGCTTTGATTTCCTTTCTTACAGATATCTATATCACCCCCTCTTGTCGTGATAAATTAATCTCACTCCTAGTGGCACTTTCACAACTGAATCCTTCCTCAAGCTAACAGCCAAGCTTTCCTTAGCACCTTTCTCAGACAAGCGGATATGGCTCTCCTCAGCCCCCAAGCGTGCCTTTCTTTATTTTGGAATCTGCTTGGGGCAGCTCAATACTTGTTACAACTTGCAAGAGAATAAAGGAAAGCTGTCCATTTCTCCCCATGCTTGTGTCATGTGCTATAGAGACGAAGAGTTAATTGGCCACCTGCTCATCAATTGTCATGTAGCTAGAAGCTTTTGGCATTTCTTCCTTGACCTGATCTTTAGAGGGAACTACAGCTGGACTCCTCCCAACACTGTAGGAGAGTTCCTTGATCAATGGCAGAACTACATGTTGGGAAGGAGAGGCCAGTGCTGTTGGAAAGCCATCACCCATGTGGTGATATGGGGAGTCTGGGAGGAACGCAACAGAAGATCTTTGAGTGCAAGGAATCCTCAATAGAAAGCTTAAAATGTTTAAACCAAGATTTTTTCTGGTGTGAGCATGGGAGATTTGCAAAGATGCTGGTTAGAAGTAATGCAGTCTTCTCCAGCCAGCCTCTCACCAGCTCCCCCATTGCTCCAAGGCCAAGATATTGATTACATCCTGCAGTTTGATGGCAGCTTTAGAAGAAAGCAAATTGATCTTATTGCTGCAGGTATTGGGGGCATCATTAGTAAAGCTGATGGAGGCCTGGTTTGGGCATTCGGTGGTCCTACAGTTGCCTCAGATGCCGCTACTTTGAAACCCATGCCCCTTTAGAGGGGCTCCAGATTGCTAATCAGCAGGAGATTAGTGACTAGGGAGGCAATTGGGCGGGTTTGGGTGGGTTGGGTATGGGCCAAGTTTCAACCCAATCCATCTAACCCATCAACCCGTTAATGACCCATTTAGATCAAATTAAATGGGTTGGGTTCAACCCAAACCCACCTAAGCCCAACCCATTAATCCTTTAATTCATTAAATGATAAACACATACATTGCGGAAAAATACAGAATTACAGAAAAACACAAAAATGCAAGAAAATAAAAATAACAGAAATTACAGGAAATATAAAAATTATAGAAAAATAACACAAGYTACAGAAAATGAGAGAGAGTAGACTAAGATGGTTTGGGCACACACATACAATATCACCAACTCCACCCATTAGAAGAAGTAATTTATTACACATTGAAGGGGCTAGAAGAGTTCAGGGTAGACCAAAAAGGACATGGGTAGAAGTAGTAAGAAATGATTTAAGCACTAATAATTTAACAGTGGATATGGCTTTAAATAGAATGGATTGGCAAAACAGGATTCATGTAGCCGGCCCCATATAGTTGGGATGAGGCATGGATGGTGATGATGATGAACAGAAGTTACAGAAATTGCAGAATAATATAACAAAAATTATAAAAAAACAGAGAAAATGAAGAAAATGATAGAATTTACAAAAAGCATGGAAAATCAGAAATTAAAGAAAAATAACATAAATTGCAAAAAACATAGACAGTACAAAATTATAGAAAATAACAGAAATTACAAAATAATATATGAAAACTTGCACAAAGCTCAGAAAAATGAAAAACAACAGAAAAAAAAAATACAGAAAAGCCCAATTAGGTTGGAATTTCTCTTTTATCCTTCCAAGTTCCAAGTTCCAAGTTCCAACCCAACCCTCTCTCTCTATCATATAGACACAGGAAATAGAGGAGCTATGTCTACAATCAATGGGATGAATAATGGTGCAATTAATGGGGCACTTGTTGAGGTGCAGAGACAGCAATATCCAGTAATGGAGCTCTAGCAGTGAAGAAGCCCCCTTTGTTGCCGTCAAAGGACTGTCATAGCAAGGTTGATGGACGAGGGCACCGCATATGCATGCCAATCATCTGTGCAATGAAGGTTTATTATTTGGCATGGCGATTTACATGGGAGCGGCGATGCTTCATACCAGAGGGACCAGGAATCACACATCACCTCAGATTAGAGAGAGATAGAGGATGAACAAACAATTTATTGAGAAACCCTATCTTTGGGGAGAGAAGGGGGGATCAAACAAACAGTTTGCTGAAAAACTCTAGCTGTAGAGCTCTTTAGCCAAGAGAATATAGAAAGATGAAAATTGCATGTTAATGGAAAATTGTTGGTTACCCATGATCCAACCTGCCCAATCTGCTAGTATGTTAATGGGTTGGTTGGGTTCTAAGATCTCCTCCACTTTGAATTGTAGCTTCAGATGGATCACAAGAGAGTTGAATCAGTTGGCAGATAGTTTAGCTAAATCTTCTATAGGAAGGGATATTTTGTTGAGCAAATATATTGCCATTTTAACCTCTTACTCCATTAAATCCACTAATCTAATCACTGTTAATCTTGTTAAAGGTAATATTTAGTGTAGAAAGTTGTACTAGGATATTTCTATCGGGTTAACATTGTTTTGAGCATTTTTGTGAAAGAAGTGCATCTGGTGAAAGTCAGTTCACAGGCCTCCCGTATTTCTCTCTTTTCAATTGAGCCACAGGGTTCATATCTTCTTGTATACTTGGACATGTCAACATGAAAATCACATTGCAGTTTCCTGATATGTTCATCAATACCATGCTTGAAACAATGGTTGTACAATAATCCACTTCTTTGTAACCCAGTTATTTTCTCAGTCCTATTATTATTTGTTTATTAGTGGATGCTTAATTTATTATTTTATAGATATTATTCTTTTTACATATACAGGTATTATGATGATGCTGCCTGTGTACTAAGGAAAATGCTCCTAGATGCCAAGGCACCCCATCTTTCTTCAACTATTCCACCAACCCTGCCATGGAAGGTCAATGAACCAATCCAACCTTCTGAGGGATTGACACGCCAGGGGAGTGGAATTATTGGCACATTTGGGCAGTCAGAGGAGCTACGATGTGTCATTGCTGTTATCCGCCAGTAAGATTTGCATGCTTCACATCTTTTACTTCTTTAAATAGAATCCCCTGGTTATTTAGTCCTGTTTTACCTTGGCAGTGGTGATCGGACTCCCAAACAGAAAGTGAAGTTGAAGGTTACAGAAGAAAAGCTGTTAAATTTGATGTTAAAATATAATGGTGGGAGGCCAAGATGTGAGGTGCTTATCCTATCTTATTCCTTTTCTTGTTTTAGCCAAATTAACTTTAGGACCATTTACGACCTTGCTAATTGCAGACAAAACTGAAAAGTGCTGTTCAGTTGCAAGATTTGTTGGATGCAACACGAATGCTGGTACCTCGTAAAAGGTATACATTTTTAAAATAGATATTCTAGTCTATGCATGTGCAGACGACCCTATTTTTTTTTTTTTTTTTGGGGGGGGGGAGTGGAGTGAATGGATAGATCTAAGTGATGACATATACATTGTGTTTGTGCTGTATTTTTTTTGGTTGGTTTGGAGTCTGCATTTTTTTGGTGGTTGGTCTGGCATGATGTATGATTTTTTTCTCAATCAGAAACAATGATATATGTATTGAAAAAGCATCATATACAAGAAAAAGGTGGGGGCATAAAAAGAGGAAAGAAACAAGGATATATGTATTGACTCAGACCCATTGCTCTTTTAGTAGATTCCTAGAGAGTTGAACAGTGTGGCAGATGCTCTGGCTAAATCAGGGGTGTGAAGAGATTCTTTGTACAGTTATTCAAGTTTACCGTTGTAAATGCTTGGGTGGTTTTGTATGGCTTTTTTGTATTGATGTGATCTTCTTGTTTCTTTTGTATATCCTTGCCCTTTTTTTGTTGGCAATGAAAGAAAGCTTTTCCTCAAAAAAGAAGGAAATAAACGGAAAAAATAATGGTTGCTCAGTTGGGCATTGGGCACATCCCCTTTTATTAAATAGGCATATTCACTTCAAAAAGACAAAGAATACCCTTGTTCATAATGACAAAAGTACATAGACATGGTTGTTCTTGTCTTTTAGGTTATTAATTAGGGGTATGCCCCACTTTATAAAAATGTCATATGCTTCAATAATCACCCAAATGAAAAGGAAGAAACAAGGATAGACAAGAGCGAGGCCCATAAGCACCCAAGGAAGGGTAGAGCCCCTTGCTTCCCATATATATAGAAACTGGAAGGGCCTTTTTTACAAAGCTCTATATTGACCAAAGCCATTTTTACAATCCACAAAGTTAATGAACTTGCTAAACACAACACGGAAGTTCATTATATCTTTTGATATTAAAGAGTTTGTGAGGACTTCTTAACTTATGCTGGGTGTTTCCTCAGTTCTTGTTTGAGCTATTGTGTATCTGGACGACTAAAGGTCTTAGTTGCAGAGGCAAGAAGGTTTAGAGTATCATCCCTGCTTGTATAATTTGGAGGGTATGGAAGGAGAAAAACAGTAGACTTTTATCTTTTTTCTATTAGAAAAATATAATTCTGTTAATAACAACAATAAAATCTTTACCAAGATAATAATATTGATCTTTTTTTCTATCTTTTTATCAAATCATTCTTCTCCTGTCTCTTCTTTTTGTTTCCATGAATTGTAACTTCATTTCCATTTATTGTTTTGCTTATATTATAAGAGGGATCACTGTCATCATATTGCCCTGTTATACTTTATTTGATATTATCATTTTATGTCTTAAGATGTCCTGCCATTCTCCTTTCATCAGATCATCTTCTTTTTCTTTCCCCCTTACTGTTCCCTTGACATGCTTTATTTTCTCTAACTATATGTAAGCATGGCAAATGGAACTTCTGTCCACATATACAGATGAGTAAACAATTATTAGTACTATTTCATTCAATTGATTTCTTATAATGTTGTACAATTTTAGGTGTGGTCGTGAAAGTGATAGTGATGCAGAAGACATTGAACATGCTGAAAAACTTCTACAAGTTAAAGCAGTACTTGAGGAGGTTTCATTCAACATTTTCATTCTCCAATTTGTCATGTCTTGTTCAATCATTGATATTTTTTGGTTATGCGCATTTTAATTGTTCTTTGTTTTGAAACCTAGCAGCTTTACAAGTAATGGAAATGAGTGAAATATTCAAACATCAGGTCTTTTCTTGGGGGAAGAAAGACAAGACTGAAAGGACACGTTTTAACAAGAAGGCTAGCCAAACAAACATACAAGAAAAAGAACGACAAAATACAAATAGAAAATAATATCCAGTGAAAATAAAAACCCTTCTGGTACACTTGGTCCTAAGGTATCAAACAAAGAGTTGGTAGATCGTAGAACCCATCTGAATTAGATGTTCTCTCTTGATGACAAAAGTTTAGCCTCTCTAATAAAGTTCTGGACAGACCAGGGTCCCTCTCACCAATCCACTCGCTATCAAGTTGGTCATGAGGCATCCCTCATATTGAAGAGGTGTGGGTTCAAACCATGGAAAGGTAGGCTCTCCATGTTGTGTTCCAGTGAGCCCCTATGTACACCTGTCATAACCCACTTACTAGGTCTAGTGTATAGCACCTGGCCCCTATGGAGGATAAAGCAGCATCACCAATACCAAAAAAGGACCAGGCTCCCTCTCTCATTTCGCCTCATCTCAATTTACAAGTCATCCTCCACCTCCAACTTTGATATTCATATACCCTTTCCCTGTTAATGAGGTTTGGTGCAGGCCAATTCCTCCTAAGGTTGGTAGTTTTTGTTGGGAAGCCTTTCTAGAAAGAATCAACACTGGTGATCTACTCCAAAAGAAGAGACCCAATACTTGTTTGTCCCCTCATTGGTGTGTTCTTTGTAAAATTGATGGGGAGACCGTTTTTCATCTTCTGGTGTCTTGCCAATTTGCAAAGTCTATTTGGGAGTGGGCTTTCTCTCTTTTTGGGTGTACTTGGATTCCTCCATCAAATTTGCAAGGCCTTTTTGCTCCTTTTTTCATATGGCGTATGAAAAGGGGAAGGACTATGTGGAGAGGATTGAGGGCAGTAGTATGCTGGTCTTTATGGGAAGAAAGAAATCCCAGAATCTTCTCTGATGTAGAGAGAGGTGCTAAAGAGTTGAGGGCCCTAATCCACATAAGGGTTATTCAATGGATGAAGTCCCTAGAGCTGTTCACAGAATATACAATGGATGACATGCCGAGGAAGTGGGGTGAGATTGCTATCTGTATCCAGACTAAAGCAAGGATTAGTGTCTTGGACTCCCTCACTTGCGGGTTTCATAAAACTAAACTTTGATGGAAGTAGCAAAGGGAACCCCGGACAATCAAGGATTGGGGGTGTCTTCAGGGATGAGAATGTGGTTGTTTCTGCCATGTTCTCATGCCCAATTGGAGTGGGTGATTTTCTCAGAGCTGAGATCCATGCAGTTATGGAAGGTGTCCAGAAAGCTAGAGAGATGAATATCAGAAAACTCATAATTGAAGGGGACTCGGAGGTGGTGGTTGGGTGGCTGAACAAAGAAGATAGTGGTTTATGGAGTTATAGTAATTTGAAGAGGAAATTCAGATGTCTGGTTCGAGAAATGGAAGTTAAAATCAGTTGGGTAAAAAGATCAGCTAATTCTTTTGCTGATGGGTTAGATAAACAAGGGGTGGACAGGGATGTCATGTTCTGGGCACAGATGTAATTTAATTTTCTTCTTTTTCTGTTCTCTCATTCTCTCTTGTTTCCTCTCTTGGGGCTCATGATGTAGTTGGAAGATAAGAAAGTTTGTCTTCCTCTCTGTAATTTATTGTGATAATTAATGAATTGTGTTATTGATCAAAAAGAAAAACAAAGATACCATTGCAGTAATGCCAACATCTCTGCTCAAATGGAGTCATGATAATCAACAAGATCCAAGATTACCATTATGATTTTCCCTTAAATCTCTTCTTTTCCTTCTTTTTTTTATTGCCAATAGCAGATCAAAGCAGTTCTATTTGAAGATTAAAAGAAAGTAAAGCAATTGTACAAGCCCCCTCCAGACACATTTAAGCCCTAGAGTCTACTCTGCTAGACTCCCAATACAAATTTCCCTGTTTATCCTGTCCCTATTTCCAGTGAATCAACTAAAACATTGGCTAATCTTCTAACCCCCCTAAATGGGGTGTTCATTCTATGTGCTAGAGTTCGCATCTTCCCTTTCCTTGTTCCATCCAAACAATATTCTGATTTATCTCCAATGTACAAGTATGACATTAGTTTGAGATCAGAAAAGTTGTTATCAATCATGATATTGCTAATACTAACAGACCATCAAAGCCCTCCAATCATGAGACAGCACATACAAGGCTTACCAGCAAAGTACCTAAATTTCTTATAAGTTGGATATGTTTTACAATTTGCTCTTTATGGACATGATTACAACAATTTGGGCATCATTCAATCATTCCAACTGGGATCGCTGTCATTTGCTTAGTAATATCCTAATTGTTCTTGTATCTAGGGTGGGCATTTTTCTGGCATTTATAGGAAAGTCCAACTAAAGCCATTAAAATGGATTAAGGTTCCAAAAAGTAATGGTGAAGGTGAAGAAGAACGCCCTGTCGAAGCTTTGATGGTTCTCAAATATGGTGGTGTTCTTACTCATGCTGGTAGAAAGCAGGTGATTACCATTTAACTGGTCTGTGCATTATTTTTTATTTTGCAATTGCACATTTATATACATAGGTCAGTCAACTAATGAATGTTGAAGGTTTGAACTTTTCTGTTTACTGATGACTCATTTATTACGTCATGCCTTTTCTGTAGAATCTGGTTTAATTGTAGTTTCTCCCTTAATAAAAGGTTGTAATCATCATGTAACCATTTTCTCTTTCTCAAATTATTTTTATTCAGGCAGAAGAACTGGGCAGATATTTCAGAAACAATATTTATCCAGGTTATATTTTAACTGAAATCTTTCCTTATCTTTGAAGCCTATTTGTATAGATTTGAGAAAATTTATCTGGTAATCAATAACTTTAAATGTGCCCTATCTTATGACAATTTTTTTGATGAATTTGGAAGGATTCCCTCTATTTGGCTTGCTGAAGCATTAAATGTGATTTATGTTTCTTTTTTCCTTTGGTTTCTGTTCTTTTCTAAAGGAGGTTGCTTTGGTGATTTTGTGCCTTTGTAATTAAATTGGCCATCCAAGTCAAAGTTATAAGAACTGGTGAGTAATAGTAATTGATTGAACTTTAGTTCTGTTTTCTGAAAAAGAAAAGGAAAAAAAAAAAACTGAGTAACAGAAGGCCAGTAGTCATAACCATTAGGGGGGCGCCTTGTCACCTAGTTGCCTAGGTGATGGATTTTTTTATATAGAAAACATAGATCCTAGGGTAGTTCTCTAGGTACCATAGACATATTTCCTTAATAATTATTCATAATTTTCATAAGAAAAGTATAGAGTTAATGTTAAAGTATAGAAAATCAACATATTCATGAGAAGAAAAAAAAGAAGGAAAAGAAAATTCAAAAAGCATAGGGGCTGAACCCTTATTTTTGTTATAGGAAAAGAAGAAAAGGAAAGTAGTAGTAGTAGTAAGAATATAAAAGTATTTTACAATACATAGTACAAAGCTGCTTGGCGATTAGGCGAGGCGAGCCTCAAAGGGCACCGTGTCACCTAGGCGTCGCCTTGACAAGTATGGTTTTACATCTTTCTTTTTCGTTGATGGTACCTTAAAATAAAGTATCTTGATTTTAAACTATCAGTGTTTTGAAAGTGAGATTGCAACTAAAATGTAAGGGGTTACAATGCCCTAAGGCGCAAAACATGCACACCTAAGTATTAAGATGAGGTTTGTAGCCTTGTAGGTTCAAGTCCTGCATAGAATAAAATGTAAACTCTAAAAATCACAACTATAACCTAGAACATAGTAAATTGCCTATTCAAATATCAAATTCAAGGTTAACTTATCAAAACATAGCAGGATGCCGGGTGGGATGCACCTCACAGCATGAGCCTCTCCTGGTACACTTTTTAAAATGCTGTAATTTATAAAGCATAATGGTGTCCATGAGTATTTTTAGATTCCTTTTGACAAATTCTTGACTAAAACCATGCGCATCTTTATAGTCTCATATCTAGAAACTCTTTACTGTAGTCTTTATGTACTAACTGGCATTTGAATTAATTGGCATTACTTAGAAGATTATAAATTTTGTGATCTCCAAAGCCAATCATTTTGTTGTATCCCTAACTAATATCACATTCTTTTCTTATTGTCTTCTGACTTAGTTAATTTGTTTAGGTGAAGGTACAGGCTTGCTTCGCCTGCATAGTACTTATCGTCATGATCTGAAAATATACAGCTCAGATGAGGGTCGTGTTCAGGTAATTATTAGCTTTCAAAATAAGGGGTATTTTATTGTTATAGTTCAAACTATCTAATGTAAACAAAAAGTCTTAACATTTGTGACAATTAAAATTTCTCCAGTCCCAGTGCTTCTTCCATGTTCTTGTTATGATGTTTTTCTGTATCGCTGATAGCCAAACTTTTTCCAATTGTTTGCTTCTCTTTTGTAATTTTTCATGACATATATGTAATGTCTTTGGTAGCAGATGTCTGCAGCTGCATTTGCCAAAGGCCTTCTTGACTTGGAGGGCCAATTAACTCCAATACTGGTCTGTAGTCAAATTTCCTTAAAAGTGGTTTGACTGATCATTAGTTTTAGATTTATCTAACTTATGAAGTTTGATTTTAAGGTCTCACTTGTGAGTAAAGACTCTTCTATGCTGGATGGACTTGACAATGCTAGCATTGAGATGGAAGAAGCCAAGGTTGGCATTACTCCTTCACAGGAAAAATTCTAGAAATTGTATTTTTCCTGTCAAAGACTGAGGTTTGGTAAAGAGATAGAATGCATGACTTTTTTTTATCACAAACAAAATACTGACATAAATACTATAAGACACCATATCTGAAGAAGGTGGAGAACTAGGAATTCCTGGTCCAAGGCCAAAGAAGAAAAAGTACCACTGACATTTCTTTGTCTTGACAATGCTAGCCTTAAGGAGGTCTTATCTCTCTTGAAAATTGTAACTTTTCTTCTAAGCCTGCATTGCAATTTCATTTGTACTAGTACAAATGGATGAGAGTGCAAATGAGATTTTTGCAAATTATGGTCTGCATTGCAAAATAAACAAAACAAGGTGAAATCTATAACAATATTAGACCAAATTTTTTAATCTAACTCATTTGCATTCCCATACTTTTGCACCAAAGCAAATAAAATTGTACCGCAACTAAATGAGGCCTAAGGCAGTATGAAGCACCCTAATCCTGCTTATTGTCTATGATACCTGGATACATTTACTAGGGTGTTGTGTTGTGTCAGATAATTCAATCTTTAGTATAAATTCCATATCCAACACCATATGTGTCCTTTCCATTCAAAGTTTATCATGGCCTGGGAGGTGTAATATAAAAGCATCAATATCTCTTTCATGATCAGAAGTATCAAATGTTGTTGAAAGTGATAATGTTGCCAACATATTTAACCCTGTGAAGTTGGAATTAAGAAACTTCATACTTAATTGGTTTCTGAAGTTTTGAAACTTTAGCTTGTCTACCCAGTCTTTCCTTAAGACTAATAATGAAATTATTTTCCACTACAGGCTAGGTTGAATGAAATCATAACTTCGGGTGCAAAGAGAGTGCACAGTAATGGATCTGCTGAATATCCTTGGATGGTTGATGGTGTTGGCCTGCCTTCTAACGCTTCTCAACTCCTACCAGAATTGGTACATACAATTTTTAGTGAGACCATAATTGTTTGTTCTAATTCTTCTATTATGAAATTTATTTAATGTGATTGCATGGTCCATTGCAGTTTATCTTTTGATATCTTTTGAAGGGCTACACAACGGGGGGTAGCCCATCCCCCAACCTATAACCCCCCCAACCCAGGTGCAGGCGGGATTTGGTCCCAAGTCTACTATTTTGTCACTTATTCTAAATCTTCATCTAGACCATCTTATTTGCTAGAGGCAACATAAACTCAAGGTTGAAAATGTCGGTGACTTGTTGTCAGTGGAAATATCATATTGAAATATTGTAAAAATTATAGACATGGTAGAAGCATTGTGAAATAAGCAGAAATACACAAATATTTTATAAAATTATAAAATGTTTAACATCATGTCCATAAAGAATTGAGAACCGGATCAAAATGGTCATATTTCTGTTAGGCAAGTAATAATGCTACTGCTCCACATATTTAGTATATTGTTGTTAATTCCTCATGTTATAATAGCATCTCGTGTACTCCACATAGTGCATTATGCACGATAGTTTTTACTGGGGAATATGTTAGTTTCAATAATATTTTGTGTCAGTATTCATGGAAATGGAAATACCTTGTGGAGGAATTGGGAAATATATAAACATTCTAAACCTTGCATAATCTACAGAATACAGATGCCATTTCAAAATTTTATACTTCCTACTATCTATTCCCAAGACTAATCATCTTCTCCAAGTATGGGTCCTATGGGAACAAAGGGATTGAATTTGACATGATAAAAGTATCTAAAAGTTTAGAATATCATAAAAATAAGTATATAGAATATATAATAAAGTATGCAATGAATATCTTCTTATGAATTTCTACTATTCACTGCTATGTTAATTTTAAATATTTTCCACTTTAAAAGATAAAAAAGTTCTGAACCTGAATTCTACCACCTAATTGTGTCATATTGTGCAACACATAAAAATTTTGCAAAAATTCTAATTGTGTTCAAACACTAAAACCATTTGAAACTTTTAAAAAGATAAATTTGAAATGTGTTTATCAGAAAAATATAATTATTTTATGTACTATGTGGTTGGTTTATAGAGGTTACTTTGCAACTCAGATTGGCCATAAGTAGCATTTTGCGTCAGACTTGGGCCTTTGGGTCGGGCCTATTCAAATTTTGACAAAAACCCAACTCAAGCCCGCGCAAGTTGCAAGCCTAATGTTTACATGGAGTTTGAATCTTAGAATGGAATATCCATGACAATGTGTTTTTGTGAAAATGTAATTGATGTGATTATGGGTCTGATGGCACCAAAAAGTACATTAAAAATATAAAAGAACAAACACATGAAACATAATAAGGATCTAATGTGATTTGGAAACTGCCTTCAAAGGAGATAACATTAAGAGATCAAACATGACATAGAGCAAAATTTGACAAAGAGGAATTCCCATTCCAAGAGCAGCGCTCTCTCCCTAAAGCCATGTTCTTCCCAAGAGATTCTCTTCTAATACTAACATCCCAAAAGGTTAAACTAAAACCCAAGAACCAGAAGCACAGGATACAAACTATGCAGAATCCTAACATGCATAACAAGGGAAAAATGAGTGAAAACTTGAACAACTCTATTATCCTAAAAGTTCTCTCATGGAGGACACAAGTAGAGGGGGATTCAAAGTTGGTAATAGGTTGGATGCAAACAAATAGCTTAGGCACTTGGTCCCTTAGACGAATTGTAAACAAAGTTTTGAACCTAAAAAGGGAGCTTAGAGTACAGTTCAAATGGACTAGAAGGTCAGCAAATGCCTTGGATGATGCTTTAGCAAGGCAAGAGGTTAATAGGGAAACTTTATTTTGGGCATGTTTGTAAGACCGTTATGAATTGGGGGGTCACCTTTTCAAAGGTGATAGTTGTACTATTTTTCTTTGAAGTTAATGAAAGTTATCATTTTCCATAAGAAAAGGCCACATAGATTGCATATCCTTGTTAGAACTTACCATATTAAGAGCACCTACTTCATCCATTAAAAGTGAAAGATGAGGTCAATAGACAATCTTCTGAATTAACCAAAGGTTGAATGTGTAGGTGAACATGAGAAAATTTATGGTTTATCATTAGTGTCTCAAAAAGATAGGAGCTGGATAAGGAGTGTTTGGGGGATAAGAGGTCTGAGCTGGTCCTTCGCTCCTTCATGGGGAGCTTCTGGGGGGATTCTAGCGATTTGGAAGAATGAGGTTTTTGATTGTGAAGAAGAGCTAATTGGCCAGTTTTCAGTTTCTTTAAAATTTAGAAACTCTTCTGATGGGACGTCTTGGGCTTTATATGACGTCTATGGCCCCAACTCATACGGAGAACGAGATTCATTCTAGGAGGAGTTAGCTGCTGTTAGAGGAGTTTGGGAGGGTCTGTGGTGTTTGGAGGGGTGGTTTCAATGCAATCAGATTTTCAAGTGATTCAAACAACCCAAACCAAAGTATTACGACCAGCATGAGGAACTTCAATAACCTTATTGGTGCTCTAGAACAGAAAGAACTTCCTCTGCTGCAAGCAAACTTGGACAAACTTTCAATCCCCCCCCGATTTGTGCTAAATTCGATAGATTCCTTTTCTCCCTAGATTGAGAGGAATTGTGGGGGTCCTTAACCTCAAGAGCCTTGCTCAGAGTAACTTTTGATCATTGTCCTATTTGCATTAAAAGGGAAGTCCCATTCGGAGGTCCTTCACCTTTCCGCTTCAAAAATATTGTGGCTTGAGGACCCCTCATTCAAGGAAAGAGTAAAGGCTTGGTCGGCTGAATCAAGAACTTGGGAAGAAAGAAAATTGGGAGATTCTTTTGGGAACTAAAGAATTTAAAGGAGAAAATAAAGGCTTGGAATAAGGAGCATTTTGGAAGAATTGAACAGATAAAAGATTCAATCACCTGTAGTATTCAAGAACTGGATAGAAAAGAGGCCCTTAGAACCATGTCACAAGAGGAGAGGGAGGAAAGATGGAACAAGAAATTCGAACTAGAGGAAATCATAGGAAGGAAGAGATTTATTGGAGACAGAAATCTAGATCTAAGTGGATTGAAGAAGGGGATGGCAATACCATAGATCCTAGGGTACTCTTCCCTAGGTACCATAACCATATTTCCTTAAGAATTATTCATGATTTTCATAAGAAAAGTATAAAGTTCATGTTAAAGTATAGAAAACCAACATATTCACGAGAAGAAAAAGAAGGAAAAGAAAATTCAAAAAATATAGGGGCTGAACCCTTATTTTTGTTATAGGAAAAGAAGAAAAGAAAATGCGTTGATTAGAAAATGTGTAGTAGTAGTAGTAGTGTTTGGCGATTATATAAACACACAAAATGAATATTTTAGTTTAATAGTGCCTATTTTATAATTATAATGTCAACAAATAAAGAATAAAAAAGTATTTTATAATACATAGTACAAAACTATTTGGCGATTAGGCGAGGCGAGCCTCAAAGGGCGCCTTGTCGCCTCGCCTTGACAACCATGGGCAATACTAAATTCTTCCATTCATTGGCCAACGGAAGAAGAAAGAAAAACACCATTCTTAGTGTGGAAGTGGAAGGCCAGGAACTAAGGGAGTCTCATGAGATTGTGAGGGCTTTTGTCAACCATTTTAAGAGTTCTCAGTCATCGAAGCCTCTAGGATAAGTTTATTGGATCTGGAATGGACTATAATCTCTAAGGATCAGTCCTGGGAATTGGAAAGAAATTTCTCTTTGGAAGAAATTAAGGGAGCAATTTTCTCTATGGATAGATCAAAAGCCTTGGGACCAAATGGTTTTACTTTGGCTTTCTACCAAGAGTGTTGAGACTTCCTAAAATATGACCTCATGGAAGTGTTTGAAGATTTTTTCCAAAAAGGAAAGATCCCCTTTGGAGCCAATCAGCTTGATAGGGAGTCTCTACAAATCATTGCAAAGGTTCTTTCAGAGAGAATCAAGAAAGTCCTACCTTCAATAATTTCTCCTTTCCAAGGGCCTTTGTTGAAGGGAGACAAATTGTAGATCGAATCCTTGTGGCAAATGAATGTGTTTCCGAGAAAAGGAAAAAAAGAGGAAAAGGCTTGGTTTATAAGTTGGATTTAGAAAATTCCTATGACTTGGTGAATTGGGATATATTGCTAGAAATCCTAGAAAGGTTTGGGTTTGGAGAAAGGTGGAGGAAGTAAAAGGATGCATTAAGTCAGTTTACTATTCCATTCTTATTAATGGAGTGGCAAAGGACTTCTTCTCGGCTAAGAGAGGTTTAAGACAAGGGGACCCCATTTCTCCCTTCCTTTTCACTTTAGTAATAGAGATCCTCAGTAAGATGATTACCACTGCAAATGCCCAGGGCCTGATCCGGGGTTGGAGGGTTTGGAAGAGATCAAGTAATTGTTTCACATCTCCAATTTGCTGATGATACAATTTTGTTTTGCGAGAATCTTGATTTGGAAATGGTGAGTAACCTAAAGTTGCTGATTGAGAATATTGAGGGTATTTCTAGTTTGAGAATCACTTAGAACAAAAGCGGAATTATCGGAATTAATGTGGAGGAAGAGGATCTCTTGAGCTTTGCAGAGGTGTTGGGGTTTGAGATTAGAAGTTGGCCCACCTACCTTGACCTACCTTTGGGGGGGAACCCAAGGACAGAAGGATTCTAGAAGCCAGTGGTTAAAAGATTTGCAAAGAAGCTGGCCACTTGGAAGAGAACATTGATTAGAGCCACTTTAGCAAATCTACCCATCTACTTTCTTTCTACCTTTCGTATCCCGACAAGGATAGCGAAACATTTAGAGAAGCTCATGAGGGACTTCCTTTGGGAACTGGGGGAGTAAATAAAGGATCACTTAGTCAAGTTAGTAAGCCAAAAGAGCAAGGGAGGTCTAGGATTAGGAAACATTGCCCTAAGGAACACCGCATTGTTGGGTAAATGGTTATGGAGATTTCCCTTTGAAAGAGATGGGTTGTGGCACAAAGTAATTACAAGCATTCATGGTATAGATTGCAATGACTGGGATGCTAAATTGGCTCATCACTCCACTTCAGCCTCTCCTCGGAAAGCTATTCACGAAGTCTACCCTACATTCTCTAGCTCCATCTGTTTTGATGTGGGAAAGGGGAATAGAATCCGTTTCTGGGAAGACCTTTGGGTTGGGGCCCCTTAAAGATTAATACCCTGACCTTTATACCATTTCCGACTTATCTCCTTGGAACCTTGCAATCAGTTTACTTAGACCCCAATTTGGAGGATTCTAGATTCTGGGTAATCTCCCCAGATGGGCTCTTCTCTTGCTCCTCTTTTTAGTCATCTTGCTTCTGCTAAGCCCCAGGGGGTGGCTCTCGCGGTGAAAGAAATTTGGAGCAAACCTACCCCACCAAAAATCTAAGCTTTCTGCTGGACCCTTTTCCTTGGTAAGGTAAATACTTGCAACTTACTGCAGAAAAGGAGGCCTTCCACTAGCCTCTCTCCTCATATGTGTTTTCTTTGTAGGAATAGTGGAGTGATCTCCTACCCATTTGTATGTCGTATTTAGGAATTTTTCTGTTCTCTCTTTGGTTGCAGTCTTGCAGATGGGACCCTCCCAAGTGGTGACAGACATTTTCAATCCTAACTTCTTGAGGCAACCAAACAAGAGAGGGAGAATTATGTGGGAAGTTACCAAAGTGGCTATTGCTTGGGGAGTATGGAAGGAAAAAATAACGGAATTTTTGCTGGAAAATCTAGAACTTTGGAAGAGATCATTGACAGCATAAAACTGAGTGTCTGATAAAAACCTTGGACAGTTTTCAAGTTTTCTCTGTAACTGACATCCAAAGGGCATGGAAAGAGATAGCACAGTCCTCCAGGGGTAAGGAAACTATAAGAGTTGAGTGGAAACCACCAGAGGTAAACAAAGTGAAACTGAATTTTGATGGAAGCTCTATGGGCAACCTGGGAGTGGTAGGAATTGGGAGAGCAATCAGAAATGAAGAATGCAAGATATTGGCTCTATATTCAGGGCCAAACGGTATTACAAACATAGTTTTCAAGGCGCCAAGGCAAGGCTAGGCGACAGGGGGGCACCTTGTCACCTAGTCGCCTAGGCGCCCGCCTAGGCGATGGATGGATTTTTTTAAGTGAAAAATACATAGGTAGTTCCCTAGATTCCATAACCATCTTTCCTTAATAACTATCCATAATTTTCATAAGAAAATTATAAACTTCATGTTTATGTCTAGAAAGTCAACATATTTATGAGAAGAAAAAGAAGAAAGAAAAGAAAATTCAAAAAATATGGGGACTGAACCCCTATTTTTGTTATAGGAAAAGAAGAAAAGAAAAGGTGGAAGAAATGTGGAGGAAGAAGAAAAAGAAGATGTGGAGGAAGAAATRTGTTGATTAGACAAAACTTTAAGTTTTTCCCTTACTTATTGGTTCAAATTCTGAAGTCTTTGAGGGTTCAATAGCAGTTACCAATGTTTGTGTTGATTAAACCCTAACAAATAAGAAAATAATAAAAATAAATTAGTTTATAAACACAAAAAATTAATATTTTTGTTTAATAATGTCTATTTTATAATTATAATCTCAAAAAAGTAACAATGTAAAAGTATTTTACAAGACAGTACACAAAACTGCTAGGCAACTGGGTGAGGCGAGCCTCCAAGGGCGCCTTGTTGCCTAGGCGTCGCCTTGACAACTATGATTACAAACTCAACAAAGGCTGAGTTATTGGCATTATTACAGGGCCTCCGATTGGCAAAGCAATTGGGTTTTCGTCAGGTGGAAGTGGAGGGAGATTCAAAAGTTGTAATCTCTTGGGAAAAATGTAATAGACATGTCCCATGGACCCTCAAGCATATCTTCAGAGAAGTGGAGAGATTAGTAAAGGATATAAATGCTGATTTTAGGTGGATCAGGAGGGGTGCAAATGGGTTAGCAGATACTTAGCCAAACAAGGGGCTGCAAGGCAGCAACTATATTGGGCCTCATTGTAACTTGGGTAGTTATACTTGGGGATGACTATTGGGTCATCAGTCTGTAATTAACTCCACATATTTTAATTAATGAAACAATCTTTTTGCTGATCAAAAAAAAAAAAAAAAAAAGATGGTCACAAAATCATTATGATTATAATCAATACCTGGTTCATTAATTTGTTGTAGATAATATTGACATACTAAGAGGTCCTAGCCTCACTAATGTTAATCTTCTATGTGGATACCACCATATTTGATTTTTTTTTGTCTGAAAAGCATGATATCTTCTTTCCTTTACCTTGTTATTCTATTTATATGTTTTGGACTGCAGACGAACTTGAGAAGGATCTTGAAAAATTAATTCTCAATTGTAGGTAAAATTGACCTAGAAAGTCACAGCACAAGTCAAACTATTTTCTCAAGATTAAAATGGGAAAATTGTAGTTTTTCTCATATTGTTTTCAGAATTCAGACATAAATCAGATATGTTCTGTACTGGAGAACAAGGAAGTCAGAAAGGATAATATTTTTGCATGGTACTCCTCTTTGTTTTGATGAAAAATGCTTCTCATGTGTAGGTAAAATTGACTAAGAAAGTAACAGCACAAGTGAAACTACTTGCTCAAGATGAAGATGAGAAACTTGCAAACACAAGCTCATATGCAGTTCTTCCTCCATACGACCAAGCAAAGGCTCTGGGCAAGATAAATATCGATGTTGATCGTATTGCTTCTGGGTTACCTTGTGGCAGTGAAGGTTTCCTTTTAATGTTTGCTCGCTGGAAAAAGCTTGAAAGAGATTTGTATAATGAACGCAAGGAGTAAGTTTTTACCAGTCAATTAATTGATCCAATGGATATTCTTGTATATCTATCTATAGGAAATATTTGCAGGTAGTATAAGTGCAGAGTGTTTCCAATTAGAAGATTTTACCAATTACTTTAATGAAATTATGATTTTATGTGCAGCCGTTTTGACATAACACAGATTCCAGATGTTTATGATTCTTGCAAGTAAGACATACAACCTTCTATTTTATGTTGAATATATTTTTGCTTAAAAGGTAGCAACATTCCTACATTATCCTCCGTCTTCTATGCAATTCATAAATTAAAACATTGTTTCTTCAGTAGAATAACTTTAAGTAAATTTATTATCTTCATGAGCTTAAAGCTGGTAATTATGCATGTCAAAATCTTTTTACGTATTTTTGACCTTCTATTACTGCATGTGGAAATTAAGTTTGTCTAAGCATTTCTCTCTCTCTCTCTCTCTCTCTGGCTSAAACTCAGGACCAAAATTTAACATTTTGTTTTGGAGAAGCCAAACTCTTCTTGTACAGATTTGGGCATGTATTTGGCTGAACTTCAAACCTGTACACATGCTCCTTGATTCTCCTCTACCTTTGTTGCCTTTTTATTCCACATTTTCATTCAGCCATGTTTCAGTGGTATTAAGACCTTACACCTTCTATTCAACATTTTCCTATATCTTATTCATGATAACTAATTAGAATTTAACATCAATGGACCAAAATTGTCCCAAGCATGAAATGCAATTCTTTCAAAAGTTTCCACTAAGTTACCAATTTGGTGGGGTTTGTGTGGTCCTAAAATTAAAGGGAATCTGGGAATTGCATAACTTTAGCAAATATTAGCAACTTTGGACCATATATAACATGTAACAATATCTTTGGAAGTTTTACTAAAAGAAGAATTTTTTATTTATGGGTGCAACTTAGTCCAGGTTGATTGACTACCCTAGCCTAACCTACTCTCAGTGCTGACTGTATACATAATTCAATCTTGAATTAAGATGGTCAACCCTAAGCTAACCCATTCCCAATAAATACTATTCCAACACTATCTCAACCTGACCAATCCAATTTGTTGGAAAAGAGTTATTATAAAATGTACTAGTCATCATTCATCTTCTTTGAATCAAAACCACCTTCAAACTGTGATTTCAAATCCCATAATTCCATGCTTAAGCTTGCTTGAAACCTTCAATGATCACTTATTTCCCATTGCTTCACCATCTCTGTTGCATTGGATTTCAGTTTCAAGTTAATTTGGCTGTACACCATTCTATAATATCTACCAACCATTAGGCAGGCAATTTTGCTGAAGTGTATGACTGGACTTATTCCATGCTTATATTTGGATTTTGGGTACGACTTCATAGGTATGATCTCTTGCATAATGCACATCTTAATCTAGAAGGACTGGACGAGCTCTTCAAAGTGGCTCAGGTTTGCACATAATTAACTCCCAATACTTGTTTTATACTATTTCTTGAGAAAAAAATAATGAGCATTTGTTGTAAACATTTTTAGGAAGATGTTTCATTGCCTTGCTGGAATGCCCCTTGCATTTTAATCATGTGAAACTGGAAATTCATTTTGTTGCATATGCATGTAAGCATCTTTACAGCTAGAAGGCCCTATAGATAGTTAGATACCTAGTCTCTCTGTTTTTGCATGTCATACAACCCATAGTTTCTTGGTTAATGAATTCCTTTATCATTGTTGTTGGGTGATATCAAAAATAGCCTGAAGTTTTGTGTTTCATTACTTTAGTTACTGGCAGATGGTGTTATCCCAAATGAGTATGGAATAAATCCGAAGCAAAAGCTCAAAATCGGCTCAAAGGTAAGCATCCCACTATACTATTTTACACTTTACTTTCTAGGTTTCATTTTTAATTAGTAATCATTTGATCTCTGTCCTGTTTCTAGTGAAAGAATCCTATATGGTGTATTGTTGTGGGCCTATAATATTCTATACCTTGGACTCTGAGCCCATGCCACGACAACTATCAATCATGAATGGTGTCATATGAACTTCTCATAGCACATAGCTGCATTTCTGCCACTAATAGTTGATGATATATAGGTCCATTTGAAACCTTTGGTTTTGGCTGCTTTACCAGAAACTATCAAGTTTGTGCAAGTTCAGCATGAAACCTTGAACAAAGCAAAAGGAGGATTTTTAATTATTTATGCTCCCCTGTAGACTATTTTATTAGGTAAGAGGTCCACTAAGGAGTAGGAAGCAGGGACTATTAATGACCTATAGAGAACCTTTCACTCGAGGACCCTATAGAGATGATTGATGATATGAGAATGAGGTCCCTGGAAGGAACTGGGTCATTGAAGGATAGCCATAGACTGTTAATCTTCTTAAGGTTACCAAGAGCAGAAGAGCTTGCAGATTATTAAGGAACATCAATCATACTAAGAACATTCATAATGCAAAGGTGCACAAAGTACCATAATGTGTTGGATCCAACAAGGGTATAGTTGATAATATATAGTGAATGGGGGACATGCAAACAAAGACAAACCAGTACACCTCTACACACACACAAGCTACTTTATTTGCTTCTAATAAAAGAGTGTATAGTATCCCTTGTTCTCTTGATGGAGAACTTTGGTCAGGCACACTTGTCCTTAGCTACATGTAGGGGTGGATTCGCATTGAGTCGAATATTCAGCTATTTGAACTCAGCTTGTGAAAAAAAACATGAGGCTCAAGTTTGAGCTCTAGCTAGAGACTTGAGCTTGAATTCGGCTCGACTCAAAAGCTCATACGTTCGAGCTCAACTCAACTATGAGCCAAACTTCTTATAAAAAATAAAACAAAATTACACACAGAAAAATAAAAATTATTTTTTATTTTACATGTAACAGTTAAGAATTATAAAAATTATTTATTATTATAAATATAAAAAATAAAAACATTATATATATATATATGTAATATAAGCTTGGTTAAGCTTGGAAGCCTCATGAGCCAAGATTCATTAGGCTCGAACTTGGCTGTATTAGCAAACAAGCCTATATATTGGACCTAGGCTCAACTCGGAGCTTTGTTTAGACTGAGCCGAATCAAGCTTCTCACGAGTTCAGCTTGAAAAGCTCGTGAAAAGCTCAATTTGTGTCCACCCCTAGCTACATGTAGGGGTGTCAATTGGATCAGATTTGATCCAATCTGATCTGGTCCAATTTGAGTCCATTACAAATGGACCAGGTCCAATCCAATCCGATGAATAATTTGGACCATTTTGGTCAGTCCAATTCAATGTTTGGACCATCTAATCCATTCAAATTGGTTTTAATTTAGATTTGTTCCAATTCAAACCTGGTACATTGACATCTATATTCTTATTTTCTATCAATGGACCGAATATTTGTTCAATCTGACCCAATCCAATATAAATTCATTATGGATGGGCCAGGTCCAATCCAATCCAATCTAATAAATACTTAGGACCATTAAGACTGGACTAGTCCAATTCAATATGTCTTATTGGTCCATCGAATCCATCCAAATTGATTTTGATTTAATGAGGTTCAACCCAAAACCGATTCATTGGCACCCCTAGCTACATGGACCTAAGCTTGGATCTAGTTGCCCTCAAGGCATACTTGTATTCTTGAATTTGAACTTCATAACCCACTTGTTTATGGTTAGACCAACTTTGTATATTAATTTCCATGTCATAGTTTACCTCTTGTCAATTTTTTTTTCTCATTCAAGAAATCATTAATATGGTTTTAGAAGAAAAACAACCTTTTGAGAAGAAAGGACTGTTTAGAAAGATGCAAAAATCAAAAAGGAAGTAGCAGAAATCAGAGTTCAAGAGGGCAGAAGATGAAGAAGAAGGTGGTGGCAACTTGGGTTCAGAGAGAGAGATTTTCGAACATAATCTCTTCTCTTACACCCTTAATTMTATTTTATTAAGTTRAACTTTGGTAATTTACAGAGAAGCCCTTAGTTGGGCAGAAAATTAAAAAGACATAACATAAGAAAGAACAGGCTCGGATTAAGGCCCATTACAGCAAAGAACATAAA